CTTCCAAGGAGGTACTTTTTGATTGAATGTTTTAGGATTATAAACTATTAATAGGAAATATTCATATTATTTGACCATGTAAGTGGATTTTTTTTCTTATTTTGAATAAATCCTGGCCTCTCTCCATAGGTAATAGCAGCTGCAAAGGAAGGATTCACAGCTGTTGGTTATGAATTAAATCCGTGGCTAGTTTGGTACTCCAGATACCGTGCTTGGCAAGAAGGTGTGCATGGCTCTGCCAAGTTTTATATTTCGGATTTGTGGAAGGTATGTAGAGCAAAGAATGGTGCTAGAGAAATCCAATGGAAAATGTTATCGTTCATCATTAGTGTGACTGAAAACTGAAAAATGTATTGAAAAATAATAACAGTTCAAGTGAATATTTTGGCATAATGAAACGTGTACACATTTTAAAGTGATAAATTTTACAGATAGACTACGTTAGAAGCTTAAGGTTTTCTAAATGATAGATCATGTGGATTCCGAGACTTTATTTACTATATTAAAGTGTATTCGTTTCTCCTTATTACAAAATAATGAGATTTTCCATCTCATTTGGAAATCTTATAAATTATTCTTGATAAATAGTAGACCTTTCCGTGTTTCTGTGTGTGTGTGTGCGTGTTTGTACGTTTAGAGACACAGAGGTGGGCGACAGAGAAAAGAATCCACCAATCATGTTGTCGTGTTATTTCCTGTACTCATAAAGCACGAGATACTTCCAAACTTATTTGTACTCTAAAAAATGCCCTGTAATTTTGCTTTAGGAATGACGCATAAAATGCTTTTTCTTAAATAAGAATTTTCCATTGTAATGTTGTCATCAGTTGCTCGTAAAAATTCACTTGCGTTTTGCTTGCATTGTTTTTCATACCATATATACATAAATGCTCTCTCTATAGAGTAAATAAGACTTTTATTGGGCAATAAGAATTTTGACTGGCAAAGCACTTTTCCCCCTAGTTTTTCAACTAAAGCCCATTTTATTGCATTCTTGCACAGTATTTTAGAGAAGAGGAGGGGACTAGAATTTTAAGGATGGTTCAACATAAGAAAACAGCTGGCTCTGAAATCCCGTGAGTTCTTGTGACACTGGTTTGGTATAGAGTGGAGCAGAGGGGAAGCGAGTGGGCCAGGTGCTGCCGGCTCGAGCTCCAGTTGGTCACCAAGGCATCACTGGCCTTTCTGACACTTGACTTTGCCAAACCCACCATTTGGCAAAATGGAAAATTGCTGACATTTCTATGAAACAAGTTAAATTTCATGTTTGGTTTTTTACAATTAATCTACCAATTGTCTCCTCATCTTATTTAGGTTACTTTTTCACAGTACTCGAACGTCGTTGTTTTTGGTGTGCCTCAGATGGTGAGTACGCACTTTTCCCATTCTCTGTTTGGGGTTAGGTGGTGTCAAAGGCCTTTCCAGCGCCAACACGCCACCCCTTACCCATATACAAAGTGATGGCCTCCCAGAGATTTTAGGGAACACTGGATTTCAGTTCACTGGTTTAATAAAATATTTCAGAGCCTTAAAAGTTTAATCATAAAAGATTCAGTCATGTTTTTAAACTTTGGATTCAGATAAAATTTCTCAGGGATCTACCTAAGCCTTAAAAATTCCACTTTGGAAACTGCTTTATGAGGTCCCAGTGTCTAATGTGGTTTGCAGTTTCAGGGCGGCTCACGCACCTCCAGCTGAAATGGCTCGGGCAGGTTAATGGGATGTTCCCTCGGAATTGATCCTTCCTCTGATTTTTGCAGGAATATAATTTTCAGGGTGGATGAGCATTGACTGGTTTCAATTTACCTCAGTTTACTGATTTCCCAAGGAACGGAGTATTGAACTTTGATTATGTACTTTCAACAGTGAAAGTACCACAGCATTGTACTGAAAATGGTCCTCTTTAGCTTGTGGAAAGATGGTCATGGTGGGATGCTTTTACTGTAATTGCTGGTTTACAGACCATAGAAAGAAATCCCTTTTCACTTTTCAGAGTCTATGATTGTAACCGTAATAATCTTGGCAGAATCGGATGTTGGCTGAAATGCCACTGTATAACTGATAGAGTTTTTAATTTAAAAAAAGAAAATTTACTTTTTTGTTTTCTTATTTATACCTTAATTTTTACATAAGATGTTTCA